CCGTCTCTGAGATATATAGTGTGTAATGTTCTCGACAGTTCCGTCCCTGTGATATATAGTGTGTAATGTTCTCGACAGTTCCGTCCCTGAGATATATAGTGTGTAATGTTCTCGACAGTTCCGTCTCTGAGATATATAGTGTGTAATGTTCTCGACAGTTCCGTCCCTGTGATATATAGTGTGTAATGTTCTCGACAGTTCCGTCCCTGTGATATATAGTGTGTAATGTTCTCGACAGTTCCGTCTCTGTAATGTGTTATGTTCTCGACAGTTCCGTTCCTGAGATAGATAGTGTATAATGTTCTCGACAGTTCTGTCCCTGTGATATATATATATATATAGTGTGTAATATTCCTGACAGTTCCGTCCCTGTGGTATATAGTGTGTAATGTTCTCGACAGTTCCGTCCCTGTGATATATAGTGTGTAATGTTCTCGACAGTTCCGTCTCTGAGATATATAGTGTGTAATGTTCTCGACAGTTCCGTCCCTGAGATAGATAGTGTGTAATGTTCTCGACAGTTCTGTTTCTGTGATATATAGTGTGTAACGTTCTCGACAGTTCCGTCTCTGAGATATATAGTGTGTAATATTCTCGACAGTTCCGTCTCTGACATATATAGTGTGTAATGTTCTCGACAGTTCCGTCCCTGAGATATATAGTGTGTAATGTTCTCGACAGTTCCGTCTCTGAGATATATAGTGTGTAATGTTCTCGACAGTTCCGTTTCTGAAATATATAGTGTGTAATGTTCTCGACAGTTCCGTCTCTGAGATATATAGTGTGTAATGTTCTCGACAGTTCCGTCCCTGTGATATATTGTGTGTAATGTTCTCGACAGTTCAGTCTCTAAGATATATAGTGTGTAATGTTCTCGACAGTTCCGTCCCTGTGATATATAGTGTGTAATGTTCTCGACAGTTCCGTCCCTGTGATATATAGTGTGTAATGTTCTCGACAGTTCCGTCTCTGAGATATATAGTGTGTAATGTTCTCGACAGTTCCGTCTCTGAGATATATAGTGTGTAATGTTCTCGACAGTTCCGTCTCTGAGATAAATAGTGTGTAATGTTCTCGACAGTTCCGTCTCTGTGATATATAGTGTGTAATGTTCTCGACAGTTCCGTCCCTGTAATGTGTTATGTTCTCGACAGTTCCGTTCCTGTAATGTGTAATGTTCTCGACAGTTCCGTCCCTGTGATATATAGTGTGTAATGTTCTCGACAGTTCCGTCCCTGTGATATATAGTATGTAATGTTCTCGACAGTTCCGTCCCTGTGATATATAGTGTGTAATGTTCTCGACAGTTCCGTCCCTGTGGTATATAGTGTGTAATGTTCTCGACAGTTCCGTCCCTGTGGTATATAGTGTGTAATGTTCTCGACAGTTCCGTCCCTGTAATGTGTTATGTGTTATGTTCTCGACAGTTCTGTCCCTGAGATATATAGTGTGTAGTGTTATCGACAGTTCCGTCTCTGAGATAAATAGTGTGTAATGTTCTCGACAGTTCCGTCTCTGTGATATATATATATAGTGTGTAATATTCCTGACAGTTCCGTCCCTGTGGTATATAGTGGGTAATGTTCTCGACAGTTCCGTCCCTGTAATGTGTTATGTTCTCGACAGTTCCGTCCCTGAGATAGATAGTGTGTAATGTTCTCGACAGTTCCGTCTCTGTGATATATAGTGTGTAATGTTCTCGACAGTTCCGTCTCTGAGATATATAGTGTGTAATGTTCTCGACAGTTCCGTCCCTGATGATATATATAGTGTGTAATGTTCTCGTGTGTGTAATGTTCTCGACAGTTCCGTCCCTGTGATATATAGTGTGTAATGTTAGTGTGTAATCGACAGTTCCGTCCCTGTGATATATAGTGTGTAATGTTCTCGACAGTTCCGTCCCTGTGATATATAGTGTGTAATGTTCTCGACAGTTCCGTCCCTGTGATATATAGTGTGTAATGTTCTCGACAGTTCCGTCCCTGTGATATATAGTGTGTAATGTTCTCGACAGTTCCGTCCCTGTGATATATAGTGTGTAATGTTCTCGACAGTTCCGTCCCTGTGATATATAGTGTGTAATGTTCTCGACAGTTCCGTCTCTGTGATATATAGTGTGTAATGTTCTCGACAGTTCCGTCTCTGATATATAGTGTGTAATGTTCTCGACAGTTCCGTCTCTGTGATATATAGTGTGTAATGTTCTCGACAGTTCCGTCCCTGTGACATATAGTGTGTAATGCTCTCGACAGTTCCGTCTCTGAGAAATATAGTGTGTAATGTTCTCGACAGTTCCGTTCCTGAGATAGATAGTGTATAATGTTCTCGACAGTTCTGTCCCTGTGATATATAGTGTGTAATGTTCTCGACAGTTCCGTCCCTGTGATATATAGTGTGTAATGTTCTCGACAGTTCCGTCCCTGTGATATATTGTGTGTAATGTTCTCGACAGTTCAGTCTCTAAGATATATAGTGTGTAATGTTCTCGACAGTTCCGTTTTTGAAATATATAGTGTGTAATGTTCTCGACAGTCCCGTCCCTGTAATGTGTTATGTTCTCGACAGTTCCGTCCTTGAGATAGATAGTGTGTAATGTTCTCGACAGTGTAATGTTCTCGACAGTTCCGTCTCTGAGATATATAGTGTGTAATGTTCTCGACAGTTCCGTCCCTGTGATATATAGTGTGTAATGTTCTCACAGTTCCGTTCTCTGTGATATATACTGTGTAATGTTCCGTGTGACAGTTCCGTTCATCTGACATATATAGTGTGTAATGTTTATACAGTTCCGTCTCTGAGATATATAATGTGTAATGTTTCTCGACAGTTCCGTCTTGAATATATAGTGTGTAATGTTCTCGACAGTTCACAAGAAAATCTCTGTGATATATAGTGTGTAATGTTCTTCGACAGTTCCGTCGCCGTGATATTGAAAAAAATGATAACACGCTACTATAAAGTTGATATTGTCTGTATCAACAAGTTTTTAATAACTATTGTAGATAGAATTCATTACAATTAAAAAGGAATACTTATAACTCGTGTGAATATTATTGGAATGATGCATTATTCCTTTACGTCCTATGTACAGCCAGGGTAGTTTAGAGGCGTGCCAGGTATGGGTGGTGGAGGAAACCGTAATTCCCGGAGAAAAACCAGCGAGGTTTAGGGCTTGTGGTAAAAACGCCAAAAGCCCTTAACCAGTTGACCAGTTGACCACTGATACATATTGATATGATAAGAATTTTACCATTAAGAAATACATATCAATAACATGATATTGATAACTAGCGGTTTATGTGTCGTAAAGCCTGTCGGTTTTCTTTTAATTCACAAAAATATACGAACGCAGAGATCAGTGATTGTTAACACTATCCTTTTGTCTTATTGTTTTATAACTAATTTGTATTGTATCTGTGGGTTTATAATCACCACTGATTGTAGCGAAGAGACGACAGACAGGTTATTAAAGCCAATCTTAGGTGTGCTGTGCATATTACCATTGAACTTGTATTGTTTCAATTGGATTATAATAACCAATCATTTTGACACGCATATTGATCAACTACATAACGGATTTAATTACCAACACCTGTTTGTTGTTTATCATTTTATTTCATAATTATCACTGCTGTCTAGTATAGTACTTCACCAATATTTCTGGGTGTACTTTTGTCTTCAGCATTTACCCGATGTTGTGAGAAGATTTTTCTTTGTAACACTGTAGAAAAATTGCAGTGACTGTAAATTTCATGAAAAAATTCGCTTGAAAGACGTTTTTCAAAAGGCATAAAAGTCATGAGTACTATTAAAACAATTATGGACAAGCCCGTTTTTAGTTGTTGACAAGTAATGATACAATAATCCCTGCAATGCAAATCTAGTAAAGACGTTTTAAAGAATCACTACTAGTCATTTGTGTATGTTGAAAGGCACAATAAAAGGTTTTCAATAAAATATGTTTTATATTTGCTGAAACACAGGAAAACACGGTCCATCTGATTATATTTGCCAAAAGTGAAGGAAAGATTATGAATATTATTTTCTGATTCCTGTCAAATGTACGGAACGACACGTGTCAATCTGGTTATATTTGGCAACAGTGAAGGTAAGATTATGAATATTATTTTCTGATTCCTGTCAAAAGTACGAAACGACACGTGTCATTCTGGTTATATTTGGCAACAGTGAAGGTAAGATTATGAATGTTATTTTCTGATTCCTGTCAAAAGTACGAAACGACACGTGTCATTCTGGTTATATTTGGCAACAGTGAAGGTAAGATTATGAATATTATTTTCTGATTCCTGTCAAAAGTACGAAACGACACGTGTCAATCTGGTTATATTTGGCAACAGTGAAGGTAAGATTATGAATGTTATTTTCTGATTCCTGTCAAATGTACGGAACGACACGTGTCAATCTGGTTATATTTGGCAACAGTGAAGGTAAGATTATGAATGTTGTTTTCTGATTCCTGTCAAATGTACGGAACGACACGTGTCAATCTGGTTATATTTGGCAACAGTGAAGGTAAGATTATGAATATTATTTTCTGATTCCTGTCAAATGTACGGAACGACACGTGTCAATCTGGATATATTTGGCAACAGTGAAGGTAATATTATGAATACTATTTTCTGATTCCTGTCAAAGTAAGGAACGACAAGTGAGATGAAGTGTTTTTGATATCTTTAATGTATAAGGAATTCATCTGAAACAAATTTCATAGTTAATAATAGAACAATATGTATTTACGTGTTTACAATGATATGGTGTTAAACATACCTGTGATATATGTATTTCGGGTAACAAATAACTTGAAAGATAGAAACATTCTGACCGACATACATCCATATTATACAGCCTGTCTTGTTTCAACATGGACGTCATAAATTTTCATCATCTCGCCATCACATTTTGACTTCGAACAATAATTATACATTTCTCGCGTCTGTCGTGACGTCACACACCTTTTCTTACATTCCCTCATAGATCCTTCACACCACATCAATCTCCTCCTGTGAATGCGAGTTCTCGTTATCAATTCTCGGTTCCTCGAACCTGCTTTTATAATTGTCACTTGGCGAAGGTGAGTTGCTACAACTGTCCGGCCTTTCCTGATTTTCATGAATAAACTTGGCACTGTGTTCCTGAGCTTTGGCGCGTAGCGAAGCGATGCTTTCCGACCGAATCTCTTCTCTGTCTCGGTCTCGGACGTCCATGGTGTCCTTCTCCACTGGGTCTTCGTCTTCTTCTTGAAGTTTGGCAGCGGCCTCAATGGACTTCTTATGCATACCTGCTGGATATAGACAAACTGGACTATACGTCTCAGTCAAGAAAATACATACTATATATAGACACACTGGACTATGCGTCTCAGTCAAGACAATACATACTGTATATAGACACACAGGACTATATGTCTCAGTAAAGACAATATATACTGTATATAGACACACTGGACTATATGTCTCAGTCAAGAAAGTACATACTGTATATAGACAAACTGGACTATACGTCTCAGTCAAGACTATACAAACTTTATATAGATACACTGGACTATACGTCTCATACGCCTCAGTCAAGGCAATACATACTTTATATAGACACACTGGACTATACGTCTCATACGTCAAGACTATACAGACTGGTATATAGAAACACTGTATATAGACACACTGCACTATACGTCTCAGTGAAGACAATGCATACTGTATATAGACACACTGGACTATACGTCTCAGTCAAGACAATACATACTGTATATAGACACACTGGACTATACGTCTCAGTCAAGACAATACATACTGGACTATACTGTATATACTGATAGACACACTGGACTATACGTCTTAGTCAAGACAATACATACTGTATATAGACACACTGGATATACGTCTCAGTCAAGACAACAAATACTGTATATAGACACACTGGACTATACGTCTCAGTCAAGATATAGACACACTGGTCTAAGTACATACTTTATATAGATACACTGGACTATACGTCTCATACGTCTCAGTCAAGGCAATACATACTTTATATAGACACACTGGACTATACGTCTCATACGTCTCAGTCAAGACTATATATACTGGTATATAGACACACTGGACTATACGTCTCAGTCAAGACTATACAGACTGGTATATAGAAAAACTGAACTATACGTCTCAGTCAAGACAATACATACTGTATATAGACACACTGGACTATTCGTCTCAGTAAAGACAATACATACTGTATATAGACACACTGGACTATACGTCTCAGTCAAGACTATACAGACTGGTATATAGAAACACTGAACTATACGTCTCAGTCAAGACAATACATACTGTATATAGACACACTGGACTATACGTCTCAGTAAAGACAATACATACTGTATATTGACACACTGGACTATACGTATAAGACAATACATACTGTATATAGACACACTGGACTATACGTCTCAGTCAAGAAAATACATACTGTATATAGACACACTGGACTATACGTCTCAGTCAAGACTCTACATACTGGTATATAGATACACTGAACTATACGTCTCAGTCAAGACAATACATACTGTATATAGACACACTGGACTATACGTCTCAGTCAAGACAATACATACTGTATATAGACACACTGGACTATACGTCTCAGTCAAGAAAATACATACTGTATATAGACACACTGGACTATACGTCTCATAAAGACAATACATACTGTATATAGTCAAGACTATATATACTGGTATATAGACACACTGGACTATACGTCTCAGTCAAGACTATACATACTGGTATATAGATACACTGAACTATACGTCTTAGTCAAGACAATACATACTGTATATAGACACACTGGACTATACGTCTCAGTCAAGACAATACATACTGTATATAGACACACTGGACTATACGTCTCAGTCAAGACAATACATACTGTATATAGACACACTGGACTATACGTCTCAGTCAAGACAATACATACTGTATATAGACACACTGGACTATACGTCTCAGTCAAGACAATACATACTGTATATAGACACACTGGACTATACGTCTCAGTCAAGACAATACATACTGTATATAGACACACTGGACTATACGTCAAGACAATATATACTGGTATATAGACACACTGGACTATACGTCTCTCTCAAGACAATAAAAACTGCTATATAGACACACTGGACTATACGTCTGTATATAGACACACTGGACTATACGTCTCAGTCAAGACAATACATACTGTATATAGACACACTGGACTATACGTCTCAGTCAAGAAAATACATACTGTATATAGACACACTGGACTATACGTCTCAGTCAAGACAATACATACTGTATATAGACAAGACAATACATACTGTATATAGACACACTGGACTATACGTCTCAGTCAAGAAAATACATACTGTATATAGACACACTGGACTATACGTCTCAGTCAAGACAATACATACTGTATATAGACACACTCGACTATACGTCTCAGTCAAGACAATACATACACTGGACTATACGTCTGTATATAGACACACTGGTATATAGACACACTCTATACAGTCAAGACTATACATACTGTATATAGACACACTGGACTATACGTCTCAGTAAAGACAATACATACTGTATATAGACACACTGGACTATACGTCTCAGTCAAGACAATACATACTGTATATAGACACACTGGACTATACGTCTCAGTCAAGACAATACATACTGTATATAGACACACTGGACTATACGTCTCAGTCAAGACAATACATACTGTATATTGACACACTGGACTATACGTCTCAGTAAAGACAATACATACTGTATATAGACACACTGGACTATACTCTCATATCAACTACATACTGTATATAGACACAGACTATACATACTCTCAGTATATATACACACTGAACTATACGTACGTCTCAGTCAAGACTATACATACTGGTATATAGATACACTGAACTATACGTCTCAGTCAAGACAATACATACTGTATATAGACACACTGGACTATATAGTCAAGACAACACATACTGTATATAGACACACTGGACTATACGTCTCAGTCAAGACAATACATACTGGACTATATAGACACACTGGACTATATAGATCTCAGTCAAGACAATACATACTGATATATAGACACACTGGACTATACGTCTCAGTCAAGACTATATATACTGGTATATAGACACACTGGACTATACGTCTCAGTCAAGACAATACATACTGTATGTAGATACACTTGACTATGCGTCTCAGTCAAGACAATGCATACTGTATATAGACACACTGGACTATACGTCTCAATAAAGACAATACATACTGTATATAGACACACTGGACTATACGTCTCAGTCAAGACTATATATACTGGTATATAGAAACACTGGACTATACGTCTCAGTCAAGACAATACATACTGTATATAGACACACTGGACTATACGTCTCAGTCAAGACAATACATACTGTATATAGACACACTGGACTATACGTCTCAGTCAAGACAATATATACTGGTATATAGAAACACTGGACTATACGTCTCAGTCAAGAAAATGCATACTGTATATAGACACACTGGACTATGCGTCTCAGTCAAGACTATACATACTGGTATATAGACACACTGGACTATACGTCTCAGTCAAGAAAATACATACTGTATATAGACACACTGGACTATACGTCTCAGTCAAGACAATACATACTGTATATAGACACACTGGACTATACGTCTCAGTCAAGACAATACATACTTTATATAGATACACTGGACTATACGTCTCATACGTCTCAGTCAAGACTATATATACTGGTATATAGAAACACTGAACTATACGTCTCAGTCAAGACAATACATATTGTATATAGACACACTGGACTATACGTCTCAGTCAAGACAATACATACTGTATATAGACACACTGGACTATGCGTCTCAGTCAAGACAATACATACTGTATATAGACACACTGGTCTATAAGGCTCAGTCAAGACAACACGTATTGTATATAGACACACTGGACTATACGTCTCAGTCAAGACAATACATACTGTATATAGACACACTGGACTATACGTCTCAGTCAAGACTATACATACTGTATATAGACACACTGGACTATACGTCTCAGTCAAGACAATATATACTGGTATATAGACACACTGGACTATACGTCTCAGTCAAGAAAATACATACTGTATATAGACACACTGGACTATACGTCTCAGTCAAGACAATACATACTTTATATAGATACACTGGACTATACGTCTCATACGTCTCAGTCAAGACTATATATACTGGTATATAGAAACACTGAACTATACGTCTCAGTCAAGACAATGCATACTGTATATTGACACACTGGACTATACGTCTCAGTCAAGAAAATACATACTGTATATAGACACACTGGACTATGCGTCTCAGTCAAGAAAATACATACTGTATATAGACACACTGGACTATGCGTCTCAGTCAAGAAAATACATACTGTATATAGACACACTGGACTATGCGTCTCAGTAAAGACAATACATACTGTATATTGACACACTGGACTATACGTCTCAGTCAAGAAAATACATACTGTATATAGACACACTGGACTATACGTCTCAGTCAAGACAATACATACTTTATATAGATACACTGAACTATACGTCTCATACGTCTCAGTCAAGACTACATATACTGGTATATAGACACACTGGACTATACGTCTCAGTCAAGACAATACATACTGGTATACATACTTTATATAGATACACTGGACTATACGTCTCATACGTCTCAGTCAAGACTACATATACTGGTATATAGACACACTGGACTATACGTCTCAGTCAAGACAATACATACTGGTATATAGAAACACTGAACTATACGTCTCAGTCAAGACAATGCATACTGTATATTGACACACTGGACTATACGTCTCAGTCAAGAAAATACATACTGTATATAGACACACTGGACTATGCGTCTCAGTCAAGAAAATACATACTGTATATAGACACACTGGACTATGCGTCTCAGTCAAGAAAATACATACTGTATATAGACACACTGGACTATGCGTCTCAGTCAAGAAAATACATACTGTATATAGACACACTGGACTATGCGTCTCAGTAAAGACAATACATACTGTATATAGACACCTCCCTAGATCACAGCAGACTATAGACACAGATGATTTGCACCTTTTGATACAAATTAGAACTAGATATAGTAAAGCCAAATAATGAATTAAACTGCATCCTACATCTGTTTAGTCCTTTTAGGACTCGTCACTGATGCTACATCCTACATCTGTTTAGTCCTTTTAGGACTCGTCACTGATGCTACATCCTACATCTGTTTAGTCCTTTTAGGACTCGTCACTGATGCTACATCATACATCTGTTTAGTCCTTTTAGGACTCGTCACTGATGCTACATCATACATCTGTTTAGTCCTTTTAGGACTCGTCACTGTTGCTACATCATACATCTGTTTAGTCCTTTTAGGACTCGTCACTGATGCTACATCATACATCTGTTTAGTCCTTTTAGGACTCGTCACTGATGCTACATCCTACATCTGTTCAGTCCTTTTAGGACTCGTCACTGATGCTACATCCTACATCTGTTTAGTCCTTTTAGGACTCGTCACTGATGCTACATCCTACATCTGTTCCCTTTTACACTGATGCTACATCCTACATCTGTTTAGTCCTTTTAGGACTCGTCACTGATGCTACATCATACATCTGTTTAGTCCTTTTAGGACTCGTCACTGATGCTACATCATACATCTGTTTAGTCCTTTTAGGACTCGTCACTGATGCTACATCCTACATCTGTTTAGTCCTTTTAGGACTCGTCACTGATGCTACATCATACATCTGTTCAGTCCTTTTAGGACTCGTCACTGATGCTACATCCTACATCTGTTCAGTCCTTTTAGGACTCGTCACTGATGCTACATCCTACATCTGTTTAGTCCTTTTAGGACTCGTCACTGATGCTACATCATACATCTGTTCAGTCCTTTTAGGACTCGTCACTGATGCTACATCCTACATCTGTTTAGTCCTTTTAGGACTCGTCACTGATGCTACATTATACATCTGTTTAGTCCTTTTAGGACTCGTCACTGATGCTACATCCTACATCTGTTCAGTCCTTTTAGGACTCGTCACTGATGCTACATCATACATCTATTTAGTCCTTTTAGGACTCGTCACTGATGCTAAGGTCGTAAAGTTTGAAACCGAGGAGGCGACTGAGGAAAGCTCATAGTGGTTGCAAAAATGGTCAAAATGTAAATTGATAGATGCACTAACCCAATACTGTAATAATACAGACTGTCCAGACAATACATTCTAAACATAGATAGTAGAGATTCCACCAGGAAAATATATTCACGACAGACATACATCATTGGACATAATGGACTCTGAGAAGACAGGTATGATTATAGAAGACACGGCTATATAAAGACTATAATACCGCGATATTTACAGGATTATAGCACTTTGTTAGCAAGGAAACTGGATGTAACCAACACTACATTGTCTGTGTGATTTAACAGGTAAGAAAACACTACATTGTCTGTGTGGTTTAACAGGTAAGAAAACACTACCTGCGTGAAGACAAGACCTTTCAATACACCTATGTCAACATCATTCTTACTACACATTTTGTGCAGGTCGGTGTCATATATGCCAAAAATAAACATGACTCCAATCATTATTTCCAGTTGTTCTTAAAACAGGAATGTATTTGTATACAATGGTCTATGTATATATTTATTACGAAAATACGTCTGATACTCACTGAGAAGCCAGGGGGCGCAGGAATCGAGAACTCCGTCTTTTGCACTCTTTAGTATGGTCTCCGGAAGCGGAAGTGAGTGTCTGACCATGGCTCCATATAAACCATACTCCGCCATTATACTACTTCTGCCCCAAGTTTTCTCGGTTTTACGCCATTTTGCGCGCCTGTTCTGAAACCATACCTGTAAAGAAATAATAATGAAATTATTTATTACATATTTCTGTAATGCTAGAAATTATCTGCGTATTTTGTGTTTAATCTGATAAACGAGTTGGGCCGGTGATGCGCGTTAAAAAGAAGACCGGACTGTTTGTAAAACAGAACAATATAGATTAAACCGTTGAGAAGTCTTCGTTGATATTTATATAGAGTTACTAATCGTTCTTCAGATTAGGATGTCATAAACTAAAAATAGAGAAATACGATTCCCACGGTTTTGTGACGTGCTCGTTGTGATAAACAATTCTCAGACTAACAACAGGTAATATATTGGGATAGTTTTAAATGAAAGTCACGCGTTTTAACAGCTAGTCCGTGAAGTATCTATTTCGCATTGATAATGAATTTCATTTATGTAAAATAAAACAATGCTAAACTTATGATATTTTGAAAAAAATAAAAAGGGAGTAAAATTTATATTATAAACCAATGAGAATATTTTAACTTCAAGGCTCACGCCTGTTCTCGCACAAGTCTAGTGTTTCACCGTCATGCTATAACAACGTCGCCACGTGGTGGGATGTTTTTCACCGGATTTTAACGACCCTTTACCATACAAAGTCGAAATTCCAGATAATTTGCAAACCACGGCAAACTGTAATTTATTAATTGATGCAAACGTTTCGAAAAAGTAATGAAGATGTGTGTAAAATCACTGGTGGACCATTGTGAAGTTTCCGCTATGTATCGACGTCACATTGATCGACTGCGCAGCACGTGCCAACGGCAGCCCCGAGTAGTATCACACGCGCGTCATTAGCCGATGGTAGCGGCGGGCGGTATTATCCCAATGCCACTAAACCAATTACGGCTATTTCTTTGATGGGCTAAGAGGAAGTAATGGGTTGGTATAAATCTTATTAACTTGTAATTAGACACACGATTTAATTGCCAAAAGATATCATTAGCCCACCCCACCATCATTAGGGACGCATCGGTACCGGTGACAGGGGTTTCGGACACGAAACGGAAACCAAGAAATTTCCTGTCAGGAATGTTGAATTATAAAACATCTTTATCTGATTAACACAAACACTGGGACATCGCGTTATTTGATTCCTCATTGTGTAGTAAAGGAAATAAATGATTGATCGATGAACTTCGGTTTGTTTGCGTCAATAGGTATTATTGTATTGCTACCTGATGTTGAAAAGAAAAAGCATGTTAGTCAGTAATTTGTTATCTGTATCAACAGTCTAAATCATTCATATTGTCTTCCTATTCGCTACAATAAATTACGACAAAATTGTAGAATTAAACAAACTAAATCAGAGAGGGTGTTTAATTAAACACATTGATAATTAATAGCGGTAAAATACATTTACAATACCAATGATTCCATGAATACTATTAAGTGGATAAAGCGATTTTTGTCACAAATGAAAACAGTGTCTTAAATAAGGGAATTTTCAATTTCGATTACAGTACGCAATTTCATTTTTGCCTTGGAGATCCAATTTGGGTTGGAGTGCAGTGATTGGAATGTGAATCTCTTTATCATGTTAGACGTTACGTGTTGTTAGAGGAGAAACATTTATATTTCCAAGGCTGGTATTACACTATTACGTGATACAGCCTGGGATCAAAATTCAATAAGATGCATCAATTTATAATGATTGCTGATCGCACGTCTATAAAACGTGATGAAGTGTTCGATTACAAGGCCTAAATCAAGAATTATGACAGCGCTAGTTTATGGTCCATTGAGTGATCACGGACCGTGACGCGAGGTCTTTAGTGCGTGATTTACTCTCTGTTCAATGGTTGACCCGAGACCCTGGGGGAAGTTTTAATCTACCATTTCCAAATCACTACCACCAAGCATCAGATTTTTTCATAAAGAAGAACAATAAGGACAGTTTGTATTCGAATAAAAACGCGCACGGAGTTATTGAAGACGCCTTAATTCATTCAGTGTGCCCATCCGGCGTGGAACGCGGAGAATGCAATAAACCTAACGCGTCTCATGGTGCGATCTTCAATTAGCTTTTAATTGAAACTGGTCACGACAGGAGAAATTGCATTAGTATAACAAATCTATTAATTGAAATCACATAATTGTAGAGGATGCGTATAAGAATACAGCTAATCTATTAGATAAATGGAAATTAGTCGACAGCATTTCATTCTTCTCGTTCCCGATATCCTCATAGCAAAACACATTGTGACAAATACGTCTCCTGGGGCATCAGTTTCATTCAACGAAAAATAAGTGTCCGAACAAGATAGTGCTCTGTTCTGTTTGATCAGAAATTAATCATGGCGATTGTAGACAGGCCACCATTTTAGCCAGCCAGAGCCTCGTATTATTACCTTTCCTCACCATCGCCTCGTGACCCTCCTGGGAGTCAATTCTACGGTGTTAATAGACGTTAATTGTGAACTTGGGCCTACCGTATATATTTATATGTACTTTTTACGTACAACTCCTATCGTTATCGACATGCATTTTAGCTTTCCTGTGCTCAGTCTGTCAGAAGCTTGAATCGAAACGGCAACCGCTAACTGTGACAGAGGCCGTCTATGTGTGGAGGGGCACTCACTTTGATTCAACTTACCCCAGACGCTAGTAATTGCTTATTACGTGTCTTTATGAAGCAAAATACATTAAATGATTAGCAGTCTACTCCATTTGGTTTTTGCTTTGTGAAGTGATGTTTTAGGGCCTATCGCTTATGGTGGAAACCACTATCTAGTGACGGAGTATACCTACTATCGTCTGCTCACAAAACCCCCTGGTTATTAGTTGTTTACTTGGATGACATAGGGGTATGACCAGAGTTTCCTTATGTATCAGTTACAGACCAGTTCTGTCTACTGCTGATTACAGTTATTATTATGGGATGGACGTGTTCACGCGGAAAGTTACACAGAGATAAATCCATTATTGTTTCGATAACGCTACCTCCAATTACAGTATCATAGATCCGCTACTCTCTTCACTAAAACACACACTTACTCAAGGCATCAGTTATGTTACAGTGCGCGAAATCTTCTCCCAAATATGGGCATGGGACTTTAGATGGAACAGTGCGATGAAGTCCCCGGATGCTAATTGTATGAACGGATATAGATATGGACCTCGGTGCATGGAGTTTAACTTGTGTTAACAACACGACAAAGTTCTATTTTATAAAGTAAATAAATGAACGTTAATTAAGACAAATCTGATTGTAAATTAAACAAGATTTGATACGTTACAAAGTTCACGTCCTCACACAGTTGTACAAGTCACAAGTTCGTATTTTAAATCGCTTTTCGGTTATTTATCTACCAGGCCCGTATTATTCAACGGTTAGTTAAACCAGGGGTTAGTGAAAAAATTCAAATTGTTGCCACAGAAAATAACTGAGTGTTCAAGGCAAAATAAATACTAGTAATTTATCAATCAGGACTGTCTCCACAAATCTACAGTAGTGGGGAAAGTGATACACGGAATGTTCTCAATTTGGTTTACTTCATGTTTGAACATTTTCACTAACCGCTGGTTATCTCTAGTCTGTCTATAGTAAAAACAATACTTTTACCTGTATTCTGTCTTCAGGTAGGTTAGTTTTCAGAGCTAACACTTCTCTAGCGTAGACATCTGGGTAGTGAGCTTCTTTAAATGCCTTTTCCAGTTCTTCTAGTTGATAACTAGTAAATATAGTCCTGTAATAAAAGTGATTGCATGACTTGCAATAAAGGCAAATAAAAATGTGATGTCACCTACTGAGATGAGTCAAGCTATAGAATTGTTGTCATTTAGTACAAGTTATTTTTTTTTATAATAAACACAGACTGGCAACAAATATCTTCAGTCATTCAAAATTAACACTCATTGTTAGACGAATATATCTCACTACGGCCTTCTAAACCTCTCTGTACCTACACCCAAGTATCTCCCTCACAGAAATGTATTCAGTTTTTATCACTACATATTTATCAAAGAATATACATTTATTGTATCCGATTACCAATTGTTTGAGAGTGTAAGATATTTTTTCTATGATTCATCTGTGTCCAGTCTCACATTACGACTCTATTTTATTGTCATTGCTTCGAATTAAAACGGTGATACAGTGTACTAAAATTAACAGTAATAATGAAAATGGATTTTTTATCTTGTTTATATATTACCAGTTTTTTCGGGGTTTTTTGATAACTATTGCTACTAGTAGATGTATATTTTAAAATACCTGACATATATATATACTAAAACGTGCTCAATTTCTACGACTAATTATATTCTTAATTACTGTAATCCATAACACACTTAATTAAGTTTACATTTTTCTTACAATTAATTAGCTGATTTCCCTATATATTCAATAGTTATGGTTCCAGAACATAATTACTACACTTTTCTGTCTACTTATCAACTTCTCACATACTCAAATACAATGCTTCTTTTTAATTTTATTATATCACTTTCACTAACGTAATTGATAGCTGTTACTATATAGCTGTGATCTGTGTTTATTTCATACACATAAGAAACACCTTTGCCACCTAACGTAAATAGCTAATTAATGATGTACTACATCCATTCAGTTAATTCTCCTTGCTATTTAAGATAATCCAGCAGCTATACTAAAGTGTTATTTTTCCTTTTCATTATCTGACGCTATCACATGCTTGATTATTATAATTCCTTGCTGTTACGTCTTTAAACATCATAGTTAAAATCTTATTACTTTGTGTCAGTTTTTAATCACTAAAACATTATTTTCATTGTACATCTTTTCAATAGTGTCTGTTTTGTGTTTGTAGATATTTCGGTCGGTATTCTCCTCGGTGTTTCGTGTAAAATAATATACCTTATATAAATCATTGATGTAATTCCTAATAATCAATTTGTCATAATGTTTTATTCCTATATACTTCGTGTGATGTGTCACTGATACATTTCACCAAAAACAAAACCACTTCAGCTACTATCTTATTTAAATATTTCTCTTTCTAATAAAACAAATTACTACGCATTTTTTCTCTAATAGACGATATTTATACTTCCTAAAGGCTTTCAAACTTTGCTTCCCTTCAAATTTAATTACAATAACTCCTTACAGACTTATATTATTTCTATACAAACTTAGATCGGCAATGGATGTAACGTTACAATATTTTTATACTTACAATTTTTTTTCTTCCCCACCAATACACATGGATTTAAAATTTTGAAAATATCAAATACAAAAAAAAAGTTACGAAATTTATTGAAATATGGACAACTGCCTCCTCTACATCTATCTGTTTGATTGTTTTTTGATCAATTTTGATTTTCCCCCTAGGTTTTATATCTTAGGTCCTGAGCACTGATGAGTCCTAGAAAGACGAAACAATTGTATGATGCAGTTTAATTCATTGTTTGTCTCTACTATATTTAACTCCAAATTTGTAATGAAAAGTGTTATGTACTTGTATGTCTTTTAACAACCTTTAACCTTTCTATCTCTTTAATTAAGATATAACGATGTTATACGCAAGGAGTTTTAATGTCTACCTTTTTTTATATACTAAATATTTATGGTTAATATCTTTTTTACTGTGAAATATGACAGCTAATTTAATGCGAACTCCATGCTAACATTGCTGTTCATTAAGCAAATATTTGATTTGATTATTATGTGTTAATTTTGCATTTAGAACCCTTCCGCACACGACAACAAAATGGGTTTCCATACGTCTGTTGTCTTGATAAAATAACGTAACACCCAATAAAGTATGCTGTATTGATCTAATTCTACTACTGTGTAAAATTACTATGCTCTTAAAGTCACGAATGTGTTTCTATAAGTTGACAACTGATAGATTACTTTGCACGTAAACACTTGAAAGTAATACTTTCTGTCAAAGGAAAATCAGAATTTAAATATTTGGTAAACCCGAGAATAATTCAGATTCATTACAAGCACGATTGTTTTACAAATGTTGTAACAAGTATTCCATAAGGAGCAGAATTAACCTGACTGACTGATTACAATTTTATATTAATTTCTTGTCAAATGCATCAAAAAGTGTAAAAATGATAACTTCATCTTCACAGAGGTTAGGGTAGATTATAGGCCATGATGTATCTCCGTCGTCATGGAGTGACATTTTGCACCAATAAATTTGAAATATTCAGTAGAAATAAAAACGAGTATTGACTAGTTCTGGAGGCAGAACTGTCTATTGAGACAGTTTTATCCATGCTACACATATTGATTATGAAGGATAACAAATTAGCTCAAATTAGTCTTTCGTGTATCTAAATTGATAAATACACCAATTTCCACATTACCACTATCCAGTAAAATGTCAGAAAAATGTTGGCTTTCATAGTCCGGTATTGTACGTAAAGGCATTGCCTCCTTAATCCCCTAACGGCCTGTTCTCCTCCAATTTATTAATTGCCCACAGACACTAGACAAATGTCTATTAGGCCAATATCCATTCTGTGGAATTGCATGAAATTATGGAGAGCGATAATAGTGGACAATACATCTGCTGATCAGGAAGTATGAGAAGACGGGATTTATCCTATTCTATGTATCCTATTGTATCATGTGTGGTTCTATATTATGGGCAGCCAACACACCAGCTGTGTGTTACGACTCCTCTTTACAAATATCAGCTACAATCAGCTTCGATCCAAGTACACTGGACCATGGTGGGTGGGACACCAGTTACCTCGGGCGAAATCTAGGGGTCAAGTAACCCACATTATAATTTTCTTTATTCATAAAAGACGGATATCATCTTTCAGGTTAATTTAGAAATATTTAATGTTAATGTTTAATTAACTGAATTAAATATGAATACTCGTCCATATATTCTATATTTGTTCTCCTTTGTTAAAACTTTCGCGACTCTTTCAATTTCTTTCTGGTTTTTTTTTTTTTTTTTTGTATTATTTTTTTTTTATTTATTTTTTTTTTTGTCTACTTTAAACTAAATGTTATACATTAAGCCGGTCTGGATTTTAGTACAAGCATGAAAGTGTTGTCTTTTTAAGATTTTTGTTTATTAAATACGTTGCGTTCATGTATGCGATATTTGTACGTAAAATAGATACTGAGAAGTTATGGTTGTTCCTGTACAGAAAAAGGCAGTGAATGAGGCGTAAGTACGATGAAAGCCTACTTTATATATCAAGTGGCTCAATGAATATTCATAATGACTCACAAACCGCTAATGTCACTCATGAGGAATATATTGTGTGTATATATATATATATAGTGATATACAAACAATGGAAAATATTGTATACATCAAACACTTATGCTGATTTGAAATATCCTTTGTCTACAATGGGAGTTATAGATTCTCTGCTTATTTTTGATGCATAGGTGACGAAATATGCCATGTCTATCCGTGAAGGTTTCAACGGATATAAAATTGCATATGCGTGCAGGGGGTAGTCTGGACTTTGTCTAAAGATTATCTAAATTATAAATAAATTTTAGCTTTTTGATCTCTTCGATTTTGTCTTATTCTAACCTGACTTTAAGATTATAGGGAGCTTAAATTGTGAAGAATTTAACTGAGCAATTCCCTACAAAATCTTAGGGGCTGGTAGACATTCTAACAGGAGACAGCAAAGACATATGAAAAGGATATAGATACAAATTGGTAGGTTTAATAGAGCATAGAAGGATAGATGTTATAAAGATAAATGGAGTATAAAGATGTTGAAGGGTTTAATTCTCTGTTAAACAAATCAATCTATCACCTGTGACGTCTCTTCTTTTTCTTTTTCTTGCTGCTCAGACCGGCACTGTCGATATTCTCCAAACTACCCTTTTCACTAAAATTTGACTCGAGATCTGTAATAAATATAAAATCATATGTCACTAAAACACGTGATTATGTAATCCTATTCCAAGTACTGGCCACAGGTCAGCAGTTTTTCGCCTCCACCATCCAAACCTGACACGTTCTTAATGACCCTGACTATTAACAGGAGGCACAGAGACAATAAAGTAAGTATTCTTTAATACAACATGTATATTTCACACTGTTTCTACTCGAGTGTTCTGTTAGGTTTCCTTATTTCACCAATGTTTATGTAGAAATATATGTAGTTTTTGTCAAGTTGTCTACAATATACGTAAAACGACACAATGATTGTGCCTGTTTACAACTTTTTCCAGCCTGTTTTCTATTTAAATAGGATTTACATTTGATTTAATGACTTTTGTTTGAATTCTAGTCTAGCTTACTAGCTATCAACAAATAGAACCTTTTTGTTCAATTATATTTCGAAACTACTGGTACGGAAGCATTTAAATGTAACACGTGACAAAATATTAATCGTGAAATAATTATGTCAATAAAACGAGAATAGTGACGACGGTGTTCACCCTATTTCAAATTGATTTCTATTATGTTTCAAATAATTTTCCAGCAATTATCCATTCAAAGAATGTCGACTTTGGAACACTTGTCTATATTTTCCTAATCAATATTCTGAAATACACGTATGAGAAATTCCCAAAATGTACTCTAATTTTTCATAGCATTTATCTAGATAAAATACCTGTCAGTGTCCACATCAGCTGCTAAATCAATATGCACATTCTATACCCAGTACAATAGTTATGGCGAGGAAAAACAGTTGACAACGAAATATTTCTGTACACGAAATATCAGTAAGAGGTTACAAAGTTCAAACAAATATCATTGCTATAATGCGATTGTAATTAGCTAATTAAAATCCTTGTCTATTAACCTCTTGTATAGATTAGCTCGTCGCTTTGGGTACAATAATAATATCGTTTAATCTTGCTTAAATGCACGAAACCCACAAGCAATGTTCCGATTTGAAAGGAAATCGCATTTCCTCATATTAATAAATAATAAATGTTTTCATTTTATTTTTGATCGAGTACGCCACTGAGGCATATAAACTGCCGCAGACGAAACACTTGTTTCCCGCTGGATTACCGCACGTGCATGAAATGAGTCAGCTAAGAGTTTATAGAAATCCCTTAATGTACAGGTAAAACGGTAAGACTGGAATTTATGTGTATAAGGATCTATTGGTCCTCATAAGAACGAACGCCTCGTCGATAGAATAGTTTACCCTGCGGCATTTAGAGAACCAATTCATTACAAATGCTTCCATGTATTTATCACATTCACTGTAAGCTGGTTTGTTAGTTATATAAATATTTTAATTTTAAATTATATTAGCAAACCTTTAATGTATCAAACTGCCTTTAAATATCAAATAGATAGTATGACAGAGAAAGTAATTGCCCCTTCTTTTGTGTTGTCATAAAATGGCAGTAAGGTTTAAGCCATTAGAATATTAGCCATCTGCAGATAGACCCTCCAATTAAACACACTCACGATGACGCTAGGCAAGGCGTAAGTAAATGCATTTCACGCAACTTTAATTTTCAAACGCAAATTATTTTAGTAAAAAAAAAATAATGCTTCCAGCAATTTGAAACATTCCTTAATTGGTGATCTGAACGTGGGTATAGCGGTGAGATTTACAGTAAATTACCGCCTTCAGAGGATGGTAAAGTCTCCACATAAGACCAGACATACAACTAGTCTCCGGTAGGATTTACAGCAAACAAAAAATGAGTAAAATTTAAATGTAGTGTAATTGGCGAAATGTAAATAAGATATACATTTGTGCAATTATATATGGAGATATCTAACATTTACTAAAACGCATGTACCAGCATGTGCCTGATGTGATAGTATATTTGAGTACAGAACGTGTTTATTAAGATCGGTATAAAGAAGCACGGTTACAGTTATAAGGAATGATGCACTTCTGTACAAATCTCATTATTTCCTTTGCTATCTAGGTGTAGAGTGCAACTGAATTCATATCAGGTCACGTGGTTACTTAAAAATAGTTACGTGGTAAAATACTTCATAATCTTCTTCCTTTTATTTTCCTGTCCTACTCCATAAACTACTGCTCTAACTAATATTTGTTGTGAAATACGACGTGTTAATACAAGCATGTTATCATCGCCTGCCGTCTAATCCAGCTGGCCTGACTGCACGTGTCAGTGTTCCAGTAGCCGCTGGTCAGTAGGATATAGATCTGACGTGTTTACAGTAAATAGGATTACTTTTTGGCATGTGTACATTCATATTTCTCCTTCGTATTTTCTACTACTACTATATAAACTTTTCTATTTATTGATGTAAACCAAGCATTAATCAGTGTAAGTTATCGCTTTATCTCTTTCTGGAAATTAGTAGAAAATCAAAGTACTAAGTGAAAACTAGAGTGTTCTATCTATATGGCAAAAGCGACCATGTAAACAATTTTAAATATTGCAAAGCAATGCCTATTTCTTCATATATTCGCTTTGTACGCAAAAGAGTAAATTAACACAAAGTTATATATTATTTGCGGTATTCACAGAATATTCGGAAAAACACCCTGTTTTGTTTTCGCATATCTACATTAACATTGATACAAAATATTATGAAATAAATATTTGAAAGCTTGAACTCACACAAGCTATTTTCAGAATTAGCGCGATGTGTGATAGTAATTAAAAGTAATAAAAAGAAATTAAGCTTTTGTTTCGACAATTATTTTTATTTGTATTAAAATAAAGACAAACCTTTTATAGATTATGATATTGTTTCATATCAGGTGTAATTGTGTTACTTTATTCTTCAATTCAAAGAAATATGTTGCAAATCGCTCCTTCTGAAACAATAATATGCTTGCCCTTGAATTGTCCTGTATTACCGAAGTGTCCCTTCATTAAGTGTAAAATTTCTATTCCATTCATTTCACCGCCAAAATGGGTCAAATATCAACGGACAACAATGTGAAAAACTCTGATAAATATAGAAATATTTTATCTCTTAAAGATGAAAGAACGCTGAGTTTTGTTATCTCAAATTTACGGAAAACAGACACATTCGTACGGAAAACGATTCTTGATAAAACCTGCATAAATCTAGTTTGTTTTATAAATCTTGAGGATTTCTTGAGTGAAAATGTCAAGTAGGTAAAGCAAGCCATTATAATTAGCATTCTTTAAAATATGACACATATTTACAATGTTTAAAATCGAGCGAACAGCGCCTTAATGTAAATTGTCTTGATAGCTTCACATTGGCGCAAATACGACGGCCGACTTCGGTACATAGAATAGAACGTAAACATTTTATCTTATACATATACACGTTATGATCCATTTTCATATGTATTAAGTTTTATATTTATATATATTAACATGCCTAACTGTTCACGTTAAATTATTTTTTATGGTGGAATAAATACAACCATACCTCCTGCAATAAAAGTTCAGAGTTTATAATTTTATAACGTACAAAAATTGATATAAAAAAAATTGAAACATATTACGATAAAGTACTGAACTTTAGAAAAATGTCTATAATGTGCTCTTTGGATGCCATGTATTAGAAATAGTTCAATCCATCAATACTCACTTGTTTTGACATGGTCGCTACTTTTGGACAACAGATTATTTGGTGATGATCCCAAGTTGAACACAGATTGCGCTGAGCTGCTTAAAGCGTTGATGAAGGTAGACCTCCACGTGGAGTAGGGGAGAGACACTGGGATGTCCTTGATTGCTGACCGGACTGGTCCTAACGAACTGGACAATGACGAAGACAGGTAAGATGATGACAGGATAGGATCACTCTGTGAATGTCTTGGTCTATCAGATTCGTGATTGTTGTTTCCTAGTCCTAAAAGTTCTTGTATGGCAAACGGTGTTCTCTGGCTTCTGTCAGGTAGTGACCCCCCGTGTGCGATGGGTGTGGCAGGGAAGGGTGACGATGCTAGTCCGATTGTTCCAGCCGCTGTTACTCCGAACGCGTACGGAGGGTGATGAGCGGCGAAATTCATCATCGTGATTGCGTCCGTGTTTTTCAGCTTACCTTCTCAAAATATTCTCACTTTTGATCTAAATTCTCTGAAAACGTCTACTGTTACATCCGTGTAAACATTGTGATGAATACGTGAAATTGAAAAAGAAAAACCTGAAAATGTTCGACAATGAGCGTGTTTAAGGTGAATTAAAAAGAAGCTAATTCAGATACGTTGATCACCTATAAAAAGTACTGTGTTAGGACAGCATGAGTATAGATCACCAACAGTATCCCTTTATCGAGTCGTTAGCTTGTTTTTGAATCATTTAAGCAGTCTTTTCTGATTATATCAATTTATTAGCGATTGTATATTTACTTTTTGGAGCCACGCCCTCAGCAGCTACATCTATGGCTGCTGATGCTGCCACTCAGAACCTCTCGACCAATCGACAGTCAACTCAGCCACGATAGGTGATTAGCTGAGTTACTCCTCTCTCACCGCGCTCGTTGTCCTTGTAATACCAAGTCCCCTGACGCCTATAGCCGTGGCTTGAGAGGGCTTCAGCGTGTGTAGGCCCCTTCTAAAATGCCATATTAAGTGATATATCCACCAGATTTTTGCTATAAGTTTGACAAGCAGAAATGACCACTGTTGTTAATTGACCTAATTTTATCCTAGTGTTGGTCAGTACTGGATCTGCAGGAGTCCGTCCGGAGCAGGCGGTACTACAGGAATAAAGAGAATTTAAATGTGCACGCTTAATTGATTCGAATGTCAATCGATTTTTTCCACTAGACTGCAGAGTCGATTTAATTATGATCAAATTATAATAATAAGAACATGTAACTATCTAATTTTAACGACAATGCATAATTTGTGTAGTGTAAACCGATGAAATATTTCACAAGGAGAAAAAGCTGTTCAATTCATTAGTACAACAATTCTGTTGGGTAAAAAGCAAAATTTGAAGATAAAACAGGAATTAATTAATAGACAGCTAATGGGAGTGTAAACAAGCTTGTGATGGTGTTATTGTCGTTACTGTCGGATATCAGACACATAAAAATGTGACTAACATATGTTTATTGTAAATAGATGAAGAACATGTCTTTTATTGTAATTCATTGTTCAATGATATTAAATATACGCTACTTGTGTCAAATATCTGTACATGTTTTAGCATCTTAGAACAGAAAACTTCATACATATTTGCATTACTTGTTTAGGTGTAACATACCCTTGGCTCTAACTTTGTTCCCTATCCGTAATCAAGACTTATATACTATTTGTTTTTCAAATCTCACCGTCACTTATTTCCTTAATTGGTGTCAATTACAGTTATCGGAATATATTATTTCCGAATATTTAAATGGCAGATCCTATTTCAGAAGTGTATACTTTATTACTGTGTAACATTTGATCGTGTGTATTGTTGCCGTCACTACTAAATATACACCTAAGGATCCGTTGTTAAAGACTTTGATTGAACCACCAGGGAAAGGGGATATCATGTCCTGATGCACGGTATCGTATTTTTCTTAGATATCACAGAGATTAAACAGAGCCTAGAGAACTGGTCATAATGTTCCATATATACATAAAAGACATGCTATAGATATATTGTATATGTAAAATACAGATTCTACATAGTGCACATTCCGTGTATACCTATCTAAAGAGAGATTGAAAAGAAGAATATAATTGCTTTTAAATAATATAAAACATAATTCTTCTCATAACACTGTAAAATAACTTTAAAATCTAAGTCCTATCATATATAGACTTGTATATGATAAATATGTATTGTTGAATATTTATAGATATTCCCTGTTCGTGTTAGTATATGTATTGTTAAACAATATATGTAAATATTCCCTGTTCGTGTTAGTATGTGTATTGTTGAACAATATATGTGAATATTCCCTGTTCGTGTTGTTATGTGTATGGCTGAATTATATAGGTCGATGTTTTCTATTTGTGTTGTTATGTGTATGGCTGAATTATATGGGTCGATGTTTTCTATTTGTGTTGTTACGTGTATGGCTGAATTATATGGGTAGATGTTTTCTATTTGTGTTGTTATGTGTATGGCTGAATTATATATGTAATGTAATGTAAATATTCATTTTTCATATTGGTAGAAGTATTGCTTAATTACCAAAAAGTTTTGTATAACGTATACAAAATCTTACGATCCATGTGAATGTTCCTGAAGTTGCTACATATATCGTTACGATAGATATGGTTTCCTCAGGTGTTGGTTTGCACATTTTCTAATTGTTGAAAAGTATGTATTATTTTTCATAAGATACCACGATATAAACACATTTATTGAGATAAGTTTTACTATATACAATTACAGGTACATATATTATGATCATTTGTTATTTTTCGTTTTCTTTTCTCTATTTTATTCAGTTTTAAACAAACGTTGCACAAATGATATTCTAGTATATAACAAGTTATATTTGTAAGATATATGTTTCCCTTTGCTGGTATACATTTTATACTGTTTTTATCCTGGATCTGAACAAATTGTATTACAAAAAGTTGGCCATAAAGCATTAGTATTATCATTATATGTTTTTTCTTCCTTCTTTTTTTCTGATATTTGTTAACCTGACAATGGTTACATCAACCAAACCATAGAAAAGGTTAATGTTATGATCTGAACAATGATGTATATTCATGTACGCTGAAGATAAATAGTTTATAATACCATCAATGATATGTTAGTCGTCTGAAAATTATCCAAACGTGTTTACTGCTCGTTAGATTGCCAGTTGGTTCCATTGTTGTATACATTGATCTCATTTGAGAACGTGACTTTTCTTACTTGGGTTCACCAAGGTTTAACATGGCGGGTGTCGTCGATGAAGTAGAAGGTGCTTGCTCTTGAGGAACATATGGTCATATTTTCCTTCTACTTCATTCATAAGTCTCTGTGCAAATCTTTCTTTTGTTTTGGTTTTGTTTTGTTTTTGTTTTGTTTTTGTGTTGTTTTTGTTTTGTTTTTTAGGGTTTTTGTTGCCCTAGATTTGTTGAGTTTGAGTTTTAATCATGATTATATTGCCATGTTGGTATTTTCTTTGTGTATTTGTTCTGGTCTTTACAACAAAGGCCTGGCTACCAGAAACAAATATTGCGTGCTACATAAAACAAAGATATGATGACAAATAAAGGTGATGTTAAAATATATGATTTAAAAATCAATAAATCAATGTAAAGGTATATATTGATGTAACAAAGCTGATAAATTCGTAGTTTGCCTGGTACATTCAAGTGGGTATAATTCCTATCTTTCATTTTATCACTCAAGGCGAGTTTGTTTACGTGGGCTATTTCGAAGGATTTCAAAAAGCTTTGTGGAATACGAGACAACATCATAAAACAAATGTGCACCACGGATTTTAGAATACAATGTGTAGGACATGTCGGCACAATCTATCTACATTAATGTCAATATAAGTTGTTCAGGTTAAAAAATTAACTCTGATGAAATAATCCAAAAGTATTTATCAGATTTGAATTCAAACAATGAATTATAAACTGCTTAGCATGCCGTCAATATATAGCCTTTACTCTTGTTGGCCCGGACGAAAGCGCGCGAGAAACAACAGTTACCGAGGAAAAACACGTGTTCGAGAACGTGACTACTTATCTTTAGACATACGACTCGGAAATCGAAACACGAACACCTTAGTGAAATACGAGAGCGTAATCATTGCGTTACCAGATAGATGAATTCGTATTAGTACAACTCATACCTAACTGATCCAGCACATCAGTGTCGATACGTGGACCACAATATGTCAACTCTCGGATAGAGATATCCTGTCCAAGGAAAAAACAATGTTTGCTTATTTTTCTCGAGTACTTAAAAAGAAAGTATCAGTTTGTTCGGAAATCTACGGACGACACAATCCTCAAAGTTCTTTGAAACGGACGTCGGAATGGATGACGTTGGTTATGGCACATAAAATGATGACTCTTTCCTATTGATATAATCCCCGAAGGATTCCCCCATCCTTAGCAATCACGTGATCACCCTGTGAAAGGTTTTGAATACGCAATAATTTTATAAAAGATACCATTGGATAGCACCTCAAACTAATAAGATAAATGAAATATGGCCCTACCTCCACTATATATAGACTAGATTGGAATGTGTCCCTACCTCCACTATATAAAGACTAGATGGGAATGTGTCCCTACCTCCACTATATATAGACTAGATGGGAATGTGTCCCTACCTCCACTATATATAGACTAGATGGGAATGTGTCCCTACCTCCACTATATATAGACTAGATGGGAATGTGTCCCTACCTCCACTATATATAGACTAGATTGGAATGTGTCCCTACCTCCACTATATATAGACTAGATGGGAATGTGTCCCTACCTCCACTATATATAGACTAGATGGGAATGTGTCCCTACCTCCACTATATATAGACTAGATGGGAATGTGTCCCTACCTCCACTATATAAAGACTAGATGGGAATGTGTCCCTACCTCCACTATATATAGACCTCCACTATATAAAGACTAGATGGGAATGTGTCCCTACCTCCACTATATATAGAATAGATGGGAATGTGTCCCTACCTCCACTATATATAAACTAGATGGGAATGTGTCCCTACCTCCACTATATATAGACTAGATGGGAATGTGCCCTTACGCCCACGATATAAAGACTAGATGGGAATGTGTCCCTACCTCCACTATATAAAGTCTAGATGGGAATGTGTCCCTACCTCCACTATATATAGAATAGATGGGAAAGTGTCCCTACCTCCACTATATATAAACTAGATGGGAATGTGTCCCTACTTCCACTATATATAAGACTATATACTATATATAGACTAGATGGGAATGTGTCCCTACCTCCACTATATATAGACTAGATGGGAATGTGTCCCTACCTCCACTATATATAGACTAGATGGGAATGTGTCCCTACCTCCACTATATAAAGACTAGATGGGAATGTGTCCCTACCTCCACTATATAAAGACTGTGTCCCTAC